CATAAACTAAACCCCAAACCCTAAACCGCATGGAGGCCCGGACAGTTTCACTAGGGTTTTGGCAGTTCTATGCTTTCAACAACTTTAAATATCCCAAGCAATAGCATTGCTAACTATCCCCACCCCTTTTTGGATATGCTGAGTAGCCTCGGTGTACTCCTTCACAGCGGCATCGAGGCATTCAGAAACTAAGGCCTGGGTTCTTGGGGGTTTGATTCGGGCGTTGACGGACTTGGGCTGTACTGGGTTCTTGTTCAGGGATTTACTTTAATTACCCTAACAAAGAAGCCCTGATAGTTAGTATAGATCCCTATTATGATAACTTAAACTAGACTTCTTCACAAGAACCCCATATAGGGTCTAGCCGGCGTGGTGTTCAGGGTTTCGGCTTTTGGGTTTCGGGTTCATTCTGCTAGTTTGGGCCATAGGATTTATGTGTGTGGCGTAGGGCACTGGGCTTCAAGAGCTCAGCTGGTGTTTATTTTTGGAGGGGCTCTACCGCTATAGAGCAGTTCACCTGTCCTGTACCTTAAACCCTAAACTAAACCCCAAACCATGAACCCTACGTTACACCAAAAAAACTCTAGCTCTTGCAGACTCTTCCGCTTGCGCGGTGGGCGGTTTGGGGATATAACCAGTTTGAGGATCGCCATGCGCAGCCCAAATTGGCAGGGCACTTCAGAAGCTTGGATCTTAAGAGTCTTAAGATGTGTGGCTGGGGTTTCAACTTCAGTGTCTTGACTAACAGAATCTAGGTCGGCGACGGGGAGCCCTCTCTTGGTCCCTGAAGCCTCAAGGCGGCACGGGAAAGCTGAGCCCGCATCTTCGTCACATTTGCGACACCGGACTTCCACGTGGTCCTCGCGGGCGCGGTGAGGCGAAGGGTCTAGGCGGGCAGGGCATGGGGCTTTTCTTTTGTCTGCCAATGAAGACGGTAGCAGCGGATAGCCTTTGCAGCGCCAGACGCGGGATCTTTCTTGAAGTTTCAACCATCGACCTAGGGGGTGGGCACAGGCCTCCAGCAACATCAGCAGGCCCTGCACGATAAGCTTGGTGATGAACTGCTTGTGGGTCGCCTGGGGCGGGCTGTAATGTAGGGGCCTTAATCACTAGAATAGGGTTTTGGGCTCCTTTGTAGTATAGATATAATAAGGAACCCCAAAGAATAATGCAGGTAATTATTTCGGCTTCTACATTAGGTATCTTCATGTGAAGTTTTGTGGCAACTTGTCACATGGCAGGGTGTTTCAGCTAGGGATTAACGCTTCAAGCACTGGTCCCACTCAGCTGTGCAGAAGAAAGTATCTTCAGGGGACTTGCCTCGTCGTTGTATGTCTGCTCTCAGTCGCCTGAAGGAAACCCCAAACGATAAACCTTACTTGCTAAGTCCCCTGAGCCTCTAATTAAACCCTGAACCCCAAACGATAAACCCTAAACCCAAAGCCCTAAACCCTAAACTCTCAACGATAAACCCTAAACCCTAAGCCCTAAGCCCTAAACTCTAAACGATAAACCCTAAACCCAAAGCCCTAAACCCTGAACCCCAAACGATAAACCCTAAACCCTAAACCCTGAACCCCAAACGATAAACCCTAAACCCAAAGCCCTACACCCTAAACTCTAAACGATAAACCCTAAACCCTAAACCCTAAACCCTAAACGCTAAACCGTAAACCCTAAGCCCTACATAAACCCTAAAGTCTAAGCCCTAAACCCTAAACCCTAAACCCTAAACCCTAAACCCTAAATCCAAGCTTAGGGCTTAGGGGTTTAGGGTTCAGGGTGGTGTTTTCGGAGTGAGGGCTTACAGCCTCAAGTCGAGGC